TATGGAGCTCGTACATTGAAATGTTTATCTAATGGCATTACAGCTACGCAAAACGATTTCAGCCCAATTTACCGACACATTAAATTTACTTGCCTTTCTTCGATTCATACTCACTCTAAATTTTGTTGTGTGTGTCAACAGAATCACGCTCACATACTTTAAAGCTTTTATTGGACACACTTTTAGAGAAAGGCCCAGAGACATTAAGCCATAAATCTTACGCGTATCGCGTGGCCTCATAAAAAACAACACGCACACACATATTAGCTATTGTCACAGTCGACAAATCGTACGTATTGATTTCAGGCGTGTGTGTGCGAGCTATCCTTTCCTCGAACACATCAACTACGATTATATATTTATATATATTTGCATACATGCATGCACGAAGAAAATATTATTGTTGTTTATAATTTGTGCGCAACAAATGTTTTGTGTGTATGAAAATGTAGATTTATGTGCTGTTGCTGGCCAGAATCGCACAAGATTAAATATTCAACGAAATCTCACATAAAATAAATATTGTGCACATTACATTTTATTTTGAAAATGGAACGACATTTAGAAATTCTGGCAAAAGAAACATCTTAATGAATGTCTAAGTGGTGAAAAGTTCGTCTTACTTCGGTACGACTTTTTATTTGATTTAAGTTCTAATAGCACTTCAAATACTCCAGAAACTTGTTGATTCGCATTTCGAATTGAAATTGCGTGTTTGTGTAATTGTGCCTGCAGCTACGTATAGCCTGCCATCATTCATATTGCATGGGGTACATAAATACTGGTTGGTCGTTCATTAAATCTTGACGAAAATATAGAATGCGCACATCATAATGTATTTTAACATTCGCATTCGCATTATTTCTACTTTGATCTATATTTGAAATGATTGCCGTTTTTTTGCTTTGACATAAAATGCCTCGTGCTCTCATTTGACTTGTTTCGTTTTTTTCGGCTATTTTTGAAAATTGTCTCGTCTTTTATACACCATCAAGAAAAGAAGAAGAAAAAAACCAAACTGGCCGAACCGATTTTAATAATAGAAAAGTCAAGTTCGTTGATGTCCCGGGATAAAACGTACACAAAACATACGGGACATATGCAAATGTTGTTATGACGAAAAAGACAATAGTAAAATGAATGCTTTATGATGCTTCTTGGTATTTTTCATAATCATCATCATCTTCGTCATCAGCATTCAGTATTTTGAATTTCACTTTGGCCAGTTCTATTTTTTTGTCTCTGCTTCCATTTGTGAATGGTTCTCAGCTGTTGGCCAATATAATTCGGGGAGAGAGAGAGAGAGAGAGAGAGAGAGAGAGAGAGAAAAAGGTCATTTTCCATGTTATCTTTATTTGTATTCAACCCCTTTCCATTTTTGTTATTTTCATTCGGCCTTTGAACAAATGAACATGTCGAACGAACATGGTGCTTGCAAACCCGAAAATATTTCAACTCCATACATTCGGTTGGAAATGGTGTCGGTTGGCTCCAGTTGTAGTATGTTTCTCGACATTTTTCCCAAGAACGGGGTGGCATTAAACGACGTCGCATTGTGTGAATTTATTGTGTGCAATGTCTGAGCAATTTGTTTACAAGTGTGCAGGCGGGTATTTTTCTCTTTCGTTTTTTGGGCTTTGTGAGCCTTCACTTATCTACATACCATATACATGTATGGCAACAAACAAATCGTTTTTGGTCGGACATTTCGGCTGTGTTCATGAATTTTCATAAAACTTTGAATGCGATTATAAATAGCGAAGCGATTTGATTCGCACAAGCACAGAGACAACATCAACCATTTTGCGTCGAAACAATGCCATTTTCTAAAACTAGTTTAGGTGCATTATATGCAAAATATTGTCGAAATAAAACCTTTAAACGACTTGAATTTCAAATCATTTTCTATCTCTATCTGTCTGATTCGACTGTGTGGTCGTTCATTTGCATGAAAACATTGGGATACCAACATATTTGTATAAATTCGTCAGTGACCGGTTCGCGCATATTTCTATGCCTAATAGCTATGCTAAGCATAGCGGAGACGTAAGCCGCAACGCACCCGTCGCCATTCGATTCGAGCTATATTGTATGCGCACGGTCGTCTGCATAAACGAACATGTGTATTGTTCATATAGAGTGAACGGCGATGCGTCGGTTGCGTTTGCGGCTATGCTTGGCATATCTATGCTACCTAGCGTATTTAGGCAAGCATAGAAATATGCGCGAACCGGTCACTGAAATTCGTTCAGTGCCTCGACGAGAAATATTGTAACCAAAAAACACGAGATTTGAATGAAGGCATACAAAGTGTGCATATCATTTCTTTTGTCACAATGTAAAATAGAAAACCAACCGAAGGAGACAAGCACCAGAAATGCCGAATGCAGTACAACACTCCATTTATTGAGAGTATACACGCAATTGATATATGTTGGTGGGCAAATGCAAACTAACCTGTTTTTCAAAGGATAAATACGTCTGCCTTTATTATTTCGTAATTATTTTTTCGTTGACATACATCATGGCACAGAACATACTTTTATAGCTCCCACATCACCATGCAATTCTATCTGTCTCGGTGTCTCTCTAATAATATCAAAATAAAAGAAATTTTTCGCTTTTATTAAAGTTAGTGTATACACATTCCAGTGATATTATACCACTAAAAAAATCACATGCGTATGTTTTGCAATTCGCCAAAAACGGATCGGATCATATGGAATCCAAAAAGTTGTTCGACTGAACATGTTGTTGTTGATTCGTATTCGTTTTGTTTTTAATTCAGTGCGTGTGTTTGTTTCGTTCAACTCTTCAATTGTCTCCGAAATGAAATATTCGCGCAAAAGGAGCGAGCGCAGAGAAAAACAATAAATGTTTGTCTTCGGTATTTTATTGTCGCATTCTTCGTTTGGCTTCAGATTCATGATCACATGTGACATACTTGTTTTTCACTATCATTTGCTTGGTATTTCGAAATTACAGCCATCGGAATGTGATTGTGTGTGTGTGCGTTTGTGTGTTGGAAACCTTATTTCTAACAAATCGAGTTCACTCGCTATATTACAATTGTGCATTTTATTCAATATTGTTGTTACATATGTTTATGTTACGAGCAACGACAGTATGGAGAAAGAATAGAGAGAGAGAGAGAGAGAGCACTCGGCAGATGGGTAGAGAAAAAAAAAGAATCTAATAAACATACCATACACACAATTACCCATAAAGCTAAGACGAAAGGATGCATGCCTCATGTAATAAATGTAGAAAAGACCATTTCACGGTGCACTGAATCCAACAACATAAGCAATTGCTTTATTTTCTTCGGGGATTGTCGCATTGCCATCGCGAGAATTATTCTCTCGCTCCTACTCGCCTCTCATTTTTTTCTCTCAATATTCTCTTATTCTCACCAAGCGATCACGCGACTGTAAGAGATAGAGACCCGAGAAAATATCACAAATATTGTGATAAATGAAGTGGCATTACAAAGTGTGTACTGAAATGTCGATGACTGAACACAGTCTCTTCTCTTGCCGTCAACAGAAAGTATATATACTAAACGACAGCACATATATGCTGGCTTCGTAAAGTGTTTTTCCTCATTTTGTTTAAATTAAATTTACCCGAGTTTAACAAGGAAAATGGCATTAGATGTGGTGTATTTGTTTATTGTGCATTTCCAACATTAATTGTTATTTAAATGCATTTCATTTTGGTAAAATTGTCTTTCAATTTCTAATTGTTTTGATTGTTGTTGTTTGTTGGATGACAACAAGATGAGCAATTCATTTTACAAAACGATTTAAACAATTTTAGACAAACGATAACAAGATGACCAAAAATCTAGACTATAATGAGAGGACATGCATTTGATAACATTGTCAACAACATTTGTAGTTTAAGAACAATTACTGTGTGTGAAAGGTCGAAAGACAACACGACAAATGTGATGCTTTCCAGGAAGTGGCGAACCATTTGAAACATTTGCTATGTGAGTGTGTGTGAGTGTCTATGTATTTTTAGTTCAATATGAGTGTTGAAAAAGACAATTAATTGTAAAATTCCGGAAAATACGAAATATTTTTAGAAATTCCATTGTATTTCTCAATCGGTTTCCATCACTCTTTGACATTGTGTACATCAACGACATGTTGTCAATTGTTTTGAGCTTTGAATTAACAACGATTTTAATTAGAAAAATTGTATACATTTCGCTAGCTTTTCTGGTATTTCGGTTATTGAGTTTTTTTCCATGTGAATTATTTCGCAATGGGAATGGGTGTACACAACGAAAATTGCGTAAATCATCTGACATTTATTGTTGATGGTGTTATTTTCGTAAAAACAAAACCGTAAATAAATGCAATTTACATATTTTATCACATTTTGTTTGGCATAAAAGAAAGAAATTGTCCGGTCGTCTCCTTCATATTAAGGCTTTACGCCCATTTACGCAAAACACATCAACCGAAGCACGAGCCGCCAACAAGAAAGAGAATAAAAAAACGTCGATCTCAATAAAAATTTACAGAAAAATGCGTAAAAGAAAAATAAAACTCATTTTCCCCGGCAAAAGCATTTCAAGTGAAATCCCCAAAAATATAAGTGGTGGAAGCGTGGTCAAAGCATGAAACAAAAAAAAAACACAGAATGAATTAAATGTTTTTGGTCGACTCTCGTTTAATGTAAATGGGGATTAAAGTGATAACAAATTGTTTGTATTTGATGCCATTATATTTGAAAATTCTATCATGTATTGTCTTCCATTTTTTGTGCTCTTCTTTTATGTACATCTATGAATGTACATTTACATTTTTTTCTTACCATTTTGTTGTTTTAAATTTCAATTATTCATCATTCCATCCGGTGAATAGAATTGGCCATGTCAACAGAGAACCCAAAATAAAATAACCATGAAAAAAATGCTTTATTCTTCAATGATACTGATGATATACTAATTTTTATGTGTATGTGTGTTTGTTTTTTTTTTATTGCAGCTCCACCGTCAAATACTGAAATCCAAGGCTATGGGCACAATTCCAAAGTAGAGGTACGCGAAAATCAAGACTTAACACTGACATGTATCGTTTCTGATGCGAAACCAGCCGCTCAAATCCAATGGTATCGAAATAATGTGGAAATCAAAACAGGTAAAATTCAGTACATCCAGTAAACACATTTATATTCACTGGGGGACGGACACAAAATCTAGTAGAATCTAGTTTCATAGTTTACTGCCAATTTTGCTAATATTTTTCTAATATTAATAAAAAAATCTACTATTATAACTATACAGACATACTAATATTGCTAATATTAGTTCACTAGTATAAACGTCAAATAGCTGATCTCAAAGTGAAATCATGTATGAATTTTTCATAAATTCTTAGATGAACATTTAACATTTTTTTATTTTTCCTGGTTTAGAAAAAATAAAATTTATTTCTATTAAATAGTAAAACACTTAAAGTAACAAAAAAAGTTTTCGGTGAGCAAAGTGCGCAATTCTCTAACAAGCAATGGTGAAGCAAAACAAACTAATTTTTGCTAATATTTTGCTAATATTCCGCTAATATTCTAATATTTATAATGGTGTCCGTCCCCTAGTATATTCATATCCTAGAAGTACACGTTTCATCGATTGGGTATAGTTTTCAATTTCATGAGGCTATATCCGATATCGATCTGTTTGAAATTTAAATCATATGCATAAAATATGTATGATGAAATTGTCTAAAAATCCGGTTTGACTCATCATTTTCCATTCCATTCTCTTTCTTTTTATTTGACAGATCGCCGTGACGATAAAGTAATCGAATCAAATAAACGATTTACAACGACATCACGTCTCCAACTATCACCAACACCCGACGAAGATTACGTGGAATACTCCTGTCAAGCAAAGCATAAAGCTCTACAACCAGATATGCCAATGAGAGCCACCGTTCAATTATCTGTTCTATGTAAGTATGCATGCATAAGATTTACAGTATTAGATCACGCACAATGCAACACTGAACGAGATGAATAAGCTTCAACACACCGATCAAATCACAACAACAGTGAGCCACCGTTCCATTGAATACCGTTGCATTTTCCATATAGTCAACGACAAAACTAATACATATTTGTTACATGCAATACACTGTGCATCTGAAATACATCTCACATAATAGAATAGCAGTCTCGATATGTCAATACAACAAATACATATATATTCACCACATCACAAATGAAACTACGACTTCTTTGACACAACAAGAGACGGGGTTTTCAATTGGAAAATCTTTTCAAATTGAATTGCATTGATCAATGGAGTACAACGAAAACGATGTGCAGTTATACGGAAAGGGAATGTGTAAATGTATAAATGAATGAAGCTATCGATTTGAATGAATACATCAAGAACTGAATATACATATGGAATGTGAAGAGAGAATCGAAAATAGTTTGGTCAGCAAACAAAATGAAGAAGAACTCCAAATAAAAACACACACACGCACACATTCTCGTTCCAATTGCTGCATTAATCCACATGCTTTAATGAATGCGCATACATACCTTTGTGCAATTTGCATTTTCAGCTCATATACATATCGTCAAACATAGATAAAAATGACGGAGTATGTGTGTTTATACAAATTTGTATACAAAATGCCGGGCAACTGTACTAAAATCTCTTAATCCTAGATGCATTGAATTTGGGAGATATAACATTTACCTATCATGATCATATATTTATCATAGCAATTAAATAACTTTTCATTTCTGACTCGGTCAGACTGCTTTGCTTTTATTTGTATGTGGATTTGTGATAGAAAAAAAATGAAAGATGAATGTGGATGGATTTTGTCAAATGGGCGTTGTTGAATATAGTCGCTAGAATGTCAAGCTGAGATTTTTACACATATTATTCACATAAGTACAATCCTCGTTCCAAGATCAAAGATGTGTTCAACATGAATTACAAATATTTACGTGAAGATTTTGATAAATTGTCAAAAAATGTAAAAAGTGAAAAATTTATTATTTTGACATATATACATTTTTGTTTTGACGTTTTTCGCATTTATTTTTCAATTCATTCTTCAATGGCCATAACATTTTCAAAATCTTAGGACTTCACTTTGGATTCAAAAAAAGAGCATTAAAATCGAATGAAATGCAAAACGAAAACAAATGATTGCCGATTATATAATGGCTGCTCAAGGTAAATGTGAAATTGTAGAAGAAAAGACAGAGAAAGGAAGAACGAGTACGATAACAAAGTTACAATAGTAGTTTCGTTGTGAAACAACACTTGAGACTTTTCACTCAATGAATTCTTAAACACTTTCTAGATGATGTAAGCTAAAAGATGTTGGCATTGCACACTGTTCGATCGAATTTTTCGTTCCGATCGGCAATCAGCGGCATACTCTTTGTAAGCGAATGCCGTTGAATGGTGAAAACCAATCACCATTTCACACGAAATGCCATAATTTTATAATAAAAAATTCAGTTCAATGTTTTTTTTTGTTATCGTCATGACAAATATGACCGATGTGCATAAATGCACCGAAATACACTCCATTCACTCTTTTCACAGCTCAAAAGTTATGAGCTTTTCCATAAAAATGTGTGATTTTATTTGAAAGCTTTCAATAGCCAAGAAGATAGAAGAAGAATAGCGAAAAAGATGAAAAATTAAATAAAATACAAGCAAAGAGCAACTTTACAACACAAAAAGTGTCACAAATAATTTACGTTGTCGCATCTCTATTTATCGGAGAATATGAATTTTGCATCAAACTAAATACAAGAGGGAGCGAAATATATTTATAAATAAAAAACAACAACATCAACTATTCGGTCGGAATATTAATTTTCATGTTATAAAATCATAAATTTCCACATTGACAGGGAACAAATCGGTTTTACAAAAATTTATGCGAAAATTCGAAAGATAGAAATACTACAAGTATGCAACATACAAAGTAAATACTTACGCAAATTTTGTATGGGCGATATGCATATAAAATCGAATAGTTATGTTATGCATGAACATATTGAGCGTTATTTAATTAAATATGATTCCCTCGTGCGGTTTTGTTCTTGATTTTAAACCTTTGGTGATTTTTTCTTTTTCGCCAAATATGCAGCATATAACGATAATTCCATGTTTTGGGCACGTAAATAAATATCGCATACACATACACCAATTTGATTCCATCATAATGTAATTTACGCTCAAAATGATAATTTCATAAAATAAGCATCATTAATTTTCAGCAAAGAAAATGCCCACATTGAACACCACTATCCAATAACTAGAACACACAATGTTAATCACATTCAATTCAACTGAAAATAATAATAAAATAATGTACATTTTTAAGTGTCTGCAAATGTTTTGAGATTAATAAGTTGTTGGTTTACATGATGTGAGTGCACAAAATTCGACGGTTCAACTCCGTTATCGATATTATGTTTCAACGGCCATTTTTCACACTTAAAAAATATTATCGGATTTTAAGTTATAATAAGGTTGCACTATCAGAAGACAATGCAGAGCTGCAATTATTTTCAATACTTTTGAAGCGCATACAAACTATGAACTAATTGCAAAAACAACAATGTTCATCGAAACGAACTCAGGATGTGTGTGTGTGTGTGTGTGTGTGTGTGTTTCAAATTGTGCAATTAGCGCCATTGAAAGATCACTTTAATCTAATCAAACGCTATCTAAATTATACATTTATGCAAATTCACCATTCTATTGAGTAAATCAATTTAGTTTGTTTGACAAGCTAATGAGAATAATTGAAAAATTACACACAATGTCATAAGTTCAAGCATATTAATTCAAAGCGTTGATTTTTCCAACTACTGTAATCCTATTAAATTTTCTATGTAATTTCACCATTTTCAGATCCACCAGGAGCACCATACATTGAAGGATACACAACCGGCGAAACATTACGTCGCGGTCAAAACGTTGAACTTGTGTGTAAAAGTCGTGGCGGAAATCCACCAGCCCAATTGATTTGGTATAAGAATGGCGTACAAGTTCGCATGGCATATAGGTAAATTATTGAAGTTCTATTTCAAATTTATACATTTTTTTGTTGTTATCAATGTTCTTTCGTGTGCTCAGCTATATTAACCCTTAACCGCACAGGCTAAAACAGTAACGTAAGCGCACAGGTGGGGTCTTTTTGGACCCATGAGAAATTTCATACAAAACTTATGCAAAATGGTATCCAATGAGTAAAATATGTCATTTTATAGTTAAAACATAGCTTATTCCTTACTTTCCAATACAGCATCACAATTTAATATTGATTTTTATGGAAAAAAAAATCAATTATAGCCAAAATTATTGGTAGTTATTGATATGTACGACTTTTAGACAGTCGTGTCTTTCACTAATATCGCTAATCGACAGTCGTTGGCCAGTTAATGTGCTTCGTGTACTGCGCCGAACTACCTCTCGATATGTGAGATCAATATAGAGACTGCTTCCCGAAGGGCGATCACACTTTGAACACTGTAGCTCTCTGGCATTTATAAGTTCAACCCTATGTAAACATTTTTCCTTCCTCTTCTTCTGCATTTGCAAGAAGCATGTGTGATATATCAGCTTAACTCTGAGACACCAGGTGGCAGCACATTTGCGTGATCGAAACCAATTACATTGCTTTATATGGAGTGCGATGAGATCGCGCTGCTTCCGTTCTTCCTCCATACTTGGCAAACATGTTGTTAGACGTTCGCAACAAGGCATACATTGTGTTTTGGATAGGATAGATCCGTAAGATCTCCGCAAGAGCTGGATCTAAGCGTGCGTAGGCCGCCGCATGATACATACTTTGATTGGCACGCCTGCTTTGATTTGCGCGTCGAAGCAACACAGAAAAACGAACGGATATATCATGCGGCGGCGTATGCACGCTTAGATCAAGCTCTTGTGGAGATCTTACGGATCTATCCTATCCAAAAAAAAACAATGTATGAATATATATTATAATGGCAAATGCCATTTGATTTGCGATGAACAGTATACGTCACGGACGAAACAATTTACTGTGTTGTTGTTTGATGAAATGTAAATTGTTGTGTCAACAAATCTCCATGAGTTTCATATTGGCCCATACAGAATACATCATTTCCCATACAAAATAATTTGGGGTCCAAAAGACCCCGTTGTGCTTTTACGTTAGTATTTTGTATAAGACTTCCCAAAACTTCATCTATGCACCAAACATTGAAATTTTTGATTTTATCACATAGATATGATATTAAAAAAGAAAACGCTCAGCGAAATTTTCCAATTTTTTTTTATATTTTTGTGATTTTTTCAAAAAACTAACTCTTAGGGCCTAAGAGACCCCACGTGTGCGTTTGAGGGTTAAGAAAACACACGTACAACTGAAATATTTAAGCTGTTGAAGATTAAGTTAAAATAGAATGGTTTTAATTATCGGCAAAAGTCCAACGAGAAAAGAACTAAATTCGATGAATGACGAGAATTTGAGATAAGTAAAGCTTTACCAAAATGAAATATGCATAGTTGATGCTAAAATAATTACCGGATCAAATGTACTGTACACGAAGTGGTTGGACGTATCAAGTGTGTAAGAGAAAAGCTCACAAAATACCATGGGTGTTTCATGTGAAGAGCCGCTTTTATGACCATGTGGCAAAAAGAAAAATTACAGTAATTCGCTTAATGTACGTGCGCACGTAATGGATTGTGATGAAGAAAGGTATCAAACTTGATGTAATATACACATGCTGTTGCTGTGTATATTTGTTATTACATTTTTTTTTGGGTAGGCAACGGTCGTCGTTGCGCTCATATATACATTTTAATTCACTCGCTGAAAACGAACAGGCACGCATTACACAAAAGCAAATGATACATAATTAAGAAATAACATTGCCATTAGGATTAATACACAAACATTCTTAAAGCTGTGTGAATATTTTTGTGCTGATTTTTTTCGTTCCATATTATTCCAGTCTCGTTTGATGAATATCATGAAATTATCTATCTTCTTCCTCTCGTTCGAATATTTTCATCCATTTTGAAAGTTTTTCTTTTGCCTTTTCAAAAGTATCCTTTATATCAGTTTTTTTATTGCAATACTTTTAATGACGAAAAATCTGAAAAGAACACGTAGAAATTTCTTGTTTACGCATTTTTCGAAGGATTTTTCCCATTTAGTACATTTTAATATAATACCAAAAATAAATACAATCATTTTGAATGAATAGTAACGATACTGATTTTTTTTTTGTTTCAAATCCTTTTACATGGATTATTTTTCATGGGAAATGAATGACGATGTCAACGATTGAAAACGCGCACAACCCATAATCATATTTCTGATTGCAATTTGTGTACAACAGGACCTCGGGTAGAATATCGGAAAATATTTACTCGTTTACAGCTGAAGCCAATGACAATAAAGCACGTTTTCGATGTGAAGCCAGCAATATTATGTCACAAACACCGCTGAAAGCTGAAGTTGATTTAACCGTTATGTGTAAGTAACCCTTATTTTCTCTCTTTTGCAAATAAATAATTATCTATGTAGTTGAATTGTATTTAAATAGGTGAGCTTTAGAATGAAAATGGAATATCAATTGGAAGAAATGTATGAATGTATGATTGGTATCCGAAAATTTACGATTTATTTCGTAAGTTCGTTGTCAAAATATTTCTTCAATCAAATGTTTATCGCATGAAAATATTAAAAACAAATTTCGTTGCGTAGGTTCTGATTATGAAGCCGCTCGTAGATTTTCCGTATGATAATATACACCCATTTGGGTTTGGCATACATAAATGGTTTCCCGTATAATCAAAAACATAAACACATAAATAAATCGACATGCGGTTTATATTGGTTTGCCCATTTGCCAGATATTCACATAATTTCACTTATAAATGTTCCAGTTTGCCGTTTATCGTACTCATGTAAATTTTCAAGCGCGCATAGGTTTATGCATTAATTTGGATTTTCCGGTTTATGTTTGTATGTGAGTGCGCGCATGTGGCAAGGTTTTCTTTATTGCATCATTGCACTCCGGGGAAAATTCAATCGAAAACTTATTCATTTCCACTCTCCAAATAGATTTAACAGTTCATTTACGTAATGCATTCACAACAGACACAATCCGGACTCGGGCAGATATATTCGAAGAAAACCGAAGAAATAAAATAAAAACGACCCGAAGCTCAATACGGTTGAGACAACAATCCGAGAGAGAAAGAGCCGCCGAGTGCACATTCATGCATACATACTAAATGAAAATGGCTAATCGATAAACAAATAAATTACAATTAACACGAGAACCCAATTGCATTGTAAAGTGAATGGTGCATATCTATTTTGTTAATTGTAGTAAATTTGAAAGAGATCGAAAGAGAAATAGTGCTTAAAATTCTCATCGCCAGCAATAACGAATGACGGTGTTGCATTTTCCGGAAGTGACTTAAATGTGTGGCGTAACTAACTATGAATTTCAATTTACATCTAAATATTTTTCAAAGCTTTTTTCGCACAGAAGCAACGTTTTTCAATGCGGAATGTGTAACTTTAATTTGTATGGTGCTGTGTGCACACTCGGGCACCCGAAAACTCAATAACGAACAAATACAATTTTCGAACATGATTAATACATTTAGTTTTATTGCTATCATTCATCATCCGTATTCATCATTGCGTATTGAATATAAAATTCAAGCCATTGACTTGCAACTGATTGCAATGTACCCGCTGTTCCCTTCTCTCCTCAGTCAGTACCTGAATAAGTCATAGAAATATTTCGTTTTTTCTATCTCTGTCTATTTCTTCATTCAATAAGAATATATTTACTCGGTTGCATATTATTTGTTCATCAAATAATTTAAAATGCCATCGGCTGTTAGCTGTGTTTGTCAAGTGAACTGAAAATCCAAGTAATGACGTCCAAACACAGATTTTGAGAGTTGTTGGATAACTCTTTTATTCGAAGAGTCATTCCTTTTGTTCTATTTTATTTTGTTTGGTTTCATTTTTTTCTTATTTCTCTTCTCTCTAACGAAATGTAAGAATGTTCTACGTGTATGTATGTATGTACGTTTTTATTTTTCTTGTGAATATGTGAACGGAGAGCATGCACTTGTTCCGGTGTACTTTGTTTTTTTTTCTCATCCTTTAATAATTTCAATTTTGAAATGTATGAATAAATAACCTTTTACATAAATATCAGACTCTTCAGATATTCCGTGTTCTGAACTTCCACATGTGTTTATTCAGTTTACGTATTTAATTTACTAACCAGTTGTTTTTTTTTTCTTTATTTCATTCTCTTTTTCATCTCATTGCAGTTGCACCAACTCATGTGACTATAACGGGCGCAACGGAAGCTCGAGTTGGTGACGTTGTACCACTACAATGTGCAACGGCACCATCAAATCCACCGGCTGAAATAAAATGGATGGTTGCTGGAAAACAAATACGAAATGCTACTTCAAAAACAGTTGTTTCACCTGAAGGTATGCTAATTTTACTCATTTCTTTGATTCAGCACGTACCAACTAGACAACGACGGCGACAACGACGATGAGAGTGTGTATGGGGGAGAGAGAGAGAGAGAGAGAGAGAGATTGAGTTACTGTATATGCACAAAATATTGTATGATTATTATAACAAACAGCACAATATAGCTCACTCACTCTCTTTTTCTCAATGTGGTAGATTTCAACTGTATACTAAAGAAAATGCTCACGATCACGACCAGTTTTTCATGAAATGTAATCGGTTTTTTTCTATTCTCCCATTCGCATTGGCTTAGCATTGGTACATACTTAGATCTTCACACAGTCATTTAGTACTTTAAAAACTGGCAGCATGTATTTGTTTACGGTCCACATCCTCTATTCTCTTTTGTACTCATAATACTTCATGTTTATATATTTTTTTTCTCTTTTCTCAAGATTCGGTTTTCCTCGAGAAAATCATTTCCTCTTGTGTGCTCACGTCTCAACTTTTCTCATTTTTCATAAACACGAATGCATTCATCCAAAACAAAGCGTCGGTCCCCGTCCCTCTTCTTTGTTATCATGCCACATTACAATCCAATTCACAGAAATAATCTCACAACGAATAAAGAAGTAAAATCAAGTCATAAGCTTCGACTTTAGATATTGACCCCGAAGCTCAAATAAATTCAAAGGGCATTACATTTGCCTTTGAATTATCATCTCATAAACTAATTTGGTTTTCTTTATTTTCTCTACCATTCTCTCTATCCTGATGCCCTGCTTAACAATATTTCTTCTTTAATCTTTGTTGTACATAAGAAGACAAAAAAATTGTACACAATGCACCAAATAATGCACAGTGTTTGCACTGCAAATTAGTCAATAATTTCCAATTCGATATTGAATGCTTCTAAACTACTAAATCCTTCATGACTAAATCATTGCAGTAGTCATTGTGTTTTGTGTTCTTAATAATGTATACAATGTGAATTTTGTAACATTAAGCGCTTATGAAATATACGCAAAAACGAGAGAAATCTAATATGGTATACACAAATCTGTAGCGAAATGTCGAACCGGAGATTGTTTTCATATTTTGTAACTGTATCTAAACAACTGCCGTTGTATTTTGTTGATGACGTTGATGATATAGTAGTATGCAAATCCAGTGAAATTGTACGGCACTCTATATTTAACCTATTTTATTGGTGTGAAAGTGAAAAATAACCACATGAGATTTCAAACTAAATTCAAACACAACCAAAACAAAGAAACTGAGAGACCATTATGGTTTAAATACATTTTAAGATATACAAACGCATACACATTATTCGCTGTACACACATGAAAACATGAAAATTTTAGACATCATCATCATCACCATTTCCTCATCGCAAAAAGTCATCGTGACCTGCAGCCAAAAAAAAGAAGTAGAAAAAATAACACCCTCGATGAAATCCGTTTATACTTCGTTTGTCCATCACATCGCTTTGATCATTTTTTATAGATGAAAACAGCGTAACGAATTGTCTGTGTTATGGACTTTGTCAATTTTCTTACATTTGCACTTCCGCCAAGATTCTTGGTGATCCGTATAGCTTAGAAGTGGACGAAAGAACATATACAACACCAACGACATTCTATATCAACTTCAATATTATAATGTGAAACAAAAACATTTATGGAATTACATGAGAAAAAACATCAGGCAAAAGTTACCATCTCATGTGCACGGCGAATGGCGAAATATAAGATGGAAAAGATCAAGAACAACAACAAATAAGAAAAATTCAAAAGAATGCGACGAAAAAATTGAGAGAAACGGATAGTGTGAGAGAGAAAATGTACAAGAGAATAGGAAGAACGATACAACTAGTGAAACCGAACACAACATGACACACAACTGTCTGTTTGTAATGCCAAGTGTTTGAAGCAGATTAGAATTAAATGACATCGGCAACGATAAATGGTGATAAGTTTTGAAGACATTCGTTGCTACGGAACATTTTGCATGAGATTAAATCCTAATGCAATCGCCCATTACAATGTATTTTTCGCCTTTTGTATCAGAGCTAAACCGCTCTGCCACCATCACACCCCAACTGTTTCTCTCTTTTTCTTCTCTCTCTTGTGTTTGTTCGCTTGCAATCTTTGATTTTCGCCTTCAAGCCACATGTCAGACATCTTTATCATATACAGATTTCCCGGAGCAAACATTCTAGCCACATAACGGAAGCATTATGCATATTTTTCCGATTTTCTTCAGCCCTTATTGCTTTTGCGCTTCCTGCTCTTTTCCTTCCACTCGCTCCCTTGTTCTCTTTGTGTTTCTATTTTTTTTTGTTCATTTCTCTTCTGCCATTTTGCACAAAATGGTATTTAGTCGTTTGTTTATAAGTTAAGCGTATGTAATAAGCTCATGGTGAATATGGGGCAAAATTGTTCTATTTTAAATAAAACAACAGCATCCACACATATAATGTTGATATGATAGACAGAAAAGCATACCAGAGCTGAATGGAGAAGATGAAGAAAATAAAAATGCTGAAGCCGAAACAACAACAAATAAATAAATTTCCGAAAATGAGGCAATAGCAACAAAAGGAAATGAGATTTGAGCGCGTTCATTTTTGCTTTCCGGGCTTTCTTTCGCACACGAACACGCTTCTTTGCTCACATTTTCTCACTCTCTGTTTTTTTTATTCTCTTCTCTCATCTGTTTTACATTATGAAAACAGTTTTTAGACAATGTTCATGTTTAATTTCTATTTATAGTATCTCATTAAACAACTAACGACCAATGAATGACAGAAAAAAGTCATTGTTACACAAGGAAAGCATAATTAACTTCATTTATTCAAAAGCTTTTGTGTAGAGATTAAATCGCACTCACTATCGTGCAATGCTTGTTTCACATTTTTACCCAGATCACTCTCTGAACTTCTCTGCTACCGTTTAGCGATGACAACAATTCGTACGAATTCGCAAGCGAACAGTTTGTACTGTGTGTATGTGTGCAGGCGATCTAAAGAAAAAAGCTCGGAAAATTATTTGAGTCATTATATGATAATTTTATCGGTTGCCACTAAAATGAAAACGAAAGATTCGTTTGTATACATACAAAAAAAAATATATATTTCCCGTTCGAACGAGTCGAGCATTCAACGTATGCACATACGTTGTGCATCGAAGTGGAACATTCAAGAGGAAAACCAAATTCAATAACAACAGCATTTTTTGTTTGAAAATTCGAAACAGAACAAAGCAATGCACATACGCACACATATTTCGGGCGCTATGAAGCGAAATATATTTTTGTAAATGGCCAATAAAAGTGGCCAACGGAAGGACTTCATTTTATGCACAAAATATATATGCTGTTTTGGGGTTCAACAAAAACAAAATATTTAAAGAGAAAAATAAACATTTTAAAGCTTTTAAGAAACGAAATGCATTCGGCTTTTATACAAAAAAACCGGTCGCTTTGTACTTGATGTGTCGTTGCAATGAACTGAAGACGATAATAAATAACTGAATAATGTTCCGCAATGAAAGAGGCTAAAATTTGCTTATTTGTGTATGGTTATTTTTCCCTCCGGTTTATGTAATATCTAAGATTTGGAACTTAAGCTAAGATTTAACTTATCACAAATTAATCCGTTGTGTTAATAATTTTTTTTTTCATCCTCTTTTAGGCGGCTGGGTGACCACATCCAATATAACGGCTCTAGTTGAACCAAACAAACGATCATTAGTGGTAATCTGTCATGGGCTAAATATGCAACTCACTGAGAATGTTGTATCAACGCACACCGTTAATGTTTTATGTAAGTATATTAAAAGTAGCAAATATTCTATAGAAACATATCTCTCTGTGGCAACCCAACTCCGGCCGAATGAAATAAATATGACTAAATGAACAAAGCGAGCAAATGGCAAAAAATAGGGGTTTGCTCAACACACACACATTTAGTGGTTTGGTTTTTATTCAGTAAATAAATCGTTTTGTATTCGCCACACACGCTTAATTCTTCTCGTTTTTTTCCTTTTTACTTTTACTCTTTTTGACGTACTTCCTCCAGCACCGTTTTCATATCGTACTTTTGTGTCCATAAAAAGATTTGTTTTGTTCAAATATACATGCTCGTCCTGAGAAAAAAAAAATAAAGCGCGATGCAAACGATTTAAAAACGGGGATTTCTGTTGCCACTTTCTGTCTCTCAACCACAAGGAATATGATAAATTATTTTCATTTCGCCGAAATATTTTTGATATGCAATATTTTTATTTGTGCTTGGTCGGTTGGTTGGTGTATGCTAGTGTATTCTGTTCTTTGTTACTGCACTGAAAAGTGTCAGTTCGTCGTTTTTTTTATTGTGGCCATTTTTTTGATTCGATGGAGAAACACACAAATAGCATCATTTCTCACGTCAAGTAGAACACATATAGTGAGTGAGAAAGAGAAATAGAGACAGAAAAAAACAGAACAATAGGAATCATTCATTGGTGCGGAGAGAAAACCAACATGTTAAATCCTTTGCATACACATTTATATTGGCAAAATAAAATCCGGCGGGAAAAATGCCCGAGGATCGAAAACAACAGTGAATTTATCCAAAAAATGAAATAATGAGACTGCATAAAACACATTTTCTTTTGCTTGAATTCATGTTTAATTGTGATATTTAAAAAAAATCGATTTTCATTGGATAAGTAATCGCTTACAAATTCGCCGATTTACCAAAATGTTTCCAAAAAAAGAGAAATCTCTATCGACTTAATGAAGGAATTGAAAAGTCTTACTAAGGAGAGATTGGGGTGCTCTTATGTTCGCTTTTCGAATTTTCTTAGTAAATTGAGTGTGAGCGGTGAATAGATAACCATGGTGCATCGTTTTTAAATAAAATGCATAAAAGTGAAAGGCAATCGCTCGAACGAAGAACATTTAAACCAAAAGATTTTGAGTTCGGTGATACGCGAACAATATATGTCGCAGCCAAATCGAAGTTGAAAATGATCGAGCAAAAAGTGAAGAGGCAAGAGCGAAAGAGAGAGAGAGAGACGGGTAACCGAAGAAAACAACCGATTTCAAGTGCACTAAAACGATATATCGTTTATAGGGAGCAAAGATGATAAGCCACCTTGAATGAATTGGAATGAAAATGGGTGGTACATTAAATTCCGTTCCATTTCACCAATTTTGGACCTGAGTATGAGTGTAGGTGTGCATTTAGCGTGAATAAAAAAAGCATAATATTTGTGGTCGAAGTTCCAGCAGAATAAAAGGGGAAAAAGAACAAGAGAAATGTTGCATTCATAAAACGTTGTGGAAATGCTTTTGCCATTTTTATGCAATGCATTGTAAACTTCAAAATCGCATGAAAAGCAAACGAGATTTTCACATCTTTACAAAGGCCACACAGATTTTCATGTGTTGTTCTGTCTTGCCCAACACACTACCTCTTAATCCATAACTAAACTCAAATTGTACGCGCCACTTGAATGTAAAGTGCGCGCATGCACATACAAAACAAAAACCGAAGAAATTGAGCTAGGACAAGTGAAAAAAATGTAATGCAATCCAACCTGATTTTATACGACTTTCAAAGTAATATTGTAATGATGACGGCGTTGACGACAACGATGTTGAATACCTGCTTTTTTTAGTTTTCTTCAACCATTTTGAAAATAATTGTAAACATCCCGTGCATAAGAATCTCCGCCATTCAGAAAATTGTGGAAGAGTGAAAGAAAAGGGTAGAGAGAGAGACGCTGTCGCGCACGCATTCTGACGCGCTCAAGCTATTGGCCTTTTCTCAGATGGTTGTAAAACTTTAAGTACCCACTCACATAGTTTTTGACTGCATTTTACTTATTGTGTATGTGTATACTTTTTTCTTCACTCTCTCTTTCATACTCACTACGTTTTATCCGAATAACGAATCGTATTTGCTATTTTGCACGAAACTAGTGTTTGTAATGTATAAAGATGCAAGGGAAAAAAATTTCCTTGCAAAACTCAGTTAAAGTCAACGCTTCCCAATTTTTATGGAGCACAAACAAAATGCAAAACATACACGAGGAATAGGTAGAAGAAGAAGAAAAAGAAATACCCCATCGTTTCACGTTCGAATGTCTTAGCACACGTCAGCGATAATACTACGCTTTATTACACCTTTTTTTTCGTTCATTCGCTTGCATCTTCACACACTTTGTGGATGCTGAATATCACGAAAAGCAACACAAAACAAAGTGAATGGCCATGAGCTTTAGCTGTAAAATTGCGAAATGCACACATTACCATGATTTTCACTACTCGCACTACTGGCTGGAACTCTAATTAAAATCTTGACAACTTTTTCTAGAAGCACTCGAAAGTTTGAAGGAGAAACTATTTAGAAACCCATTTTATACTCGCCAGCTCTTTCACTATTTCTATCTCACTATATGTGAATTACCAGAATTGGAAATTGGTGGGCGCCACAACCATGAAACGCGCCCGAATTCACCGACATAAACAACAACACCGCCACCGCCGCCGTCGCCATCATCATCTTTTTGAATAAAAATTCAGCCAGTCATGGATTTCAAACCACTTTTGATAACATTTGCACTAACCTTAAGCTAATTTTGTCAATAAATAATGAGAACATGATGCAAATGTTTACACAGACATTTACAAGTTCGATTCGTTCACTTGGTGTCGTTTTTTGGGCACGACAACGATTTGGGAAGAAGGTGCGATGAAAATTGGTTATCTTTCGAATCAACAAATTTCTAAGCATCCAAAGAAAATTTTATGATAACTAGTCATCGTCTGACGGGTGTTTTATGTCGAAATATCGTACATTTCGTTGCATTTGTTGCATTCGAAAATGGCACCAAAATTATCATAAATTTGTTATGGAACATTTTCCAAACGATACACCGAATTTCATTAAATTTCGATGCAATGCTTTAGAATGACAGATAGAGAATACGATTAAACAATCTCGCGACATGTACTAGATGACTGGGATGAGTTAACTTGGCGTTGAGAAACGTGTATTCAACGTGCTAGATACGAACAGCAATGTTGTATATGCAACAATGACAGACACCGAAACGAACATGCAATAATTAGTATTGGCATATGCGAATTGAAGCCGCAACAACACACAATTCAGCTTCATTATTTTATTGCTTATGTTATCATTGGAATATTAAGTATACATGGTATGACATGGCATGTGCATGCATATGTACACTTACTGCTTGCACTTGGAACATACATCACTTGTAATTTATATATACCATTGTGAAGACCCATTCACACATACACACACACTTACACATACTTATAAGTAGCGGATCGGAAGCGATTGCAAAGCGCAAAAATAAAATCAAATACGAAAGAAATAAAATATGGAAAAAGAACGAGCAAAGCTCTAGATCACAAAAGAAATTTCCAACAGCAGCAACAACAATAACACAAATAATCACAAGTCGCTTGAGCAACGTCAAGAAAATGTTCATTCTGGTGTCGTAAAAATGCTGACTAAGTAGAAACTACAGCGTTATTTCTTTCAATTTTTTTTTTGGTGTTACAACGGTGAGTTCTCAATCACACATAGAAAACCAGCTTTGAAACAAACTTTTCTTCGGCAGATGTCTAAATGTGTGTGTAATGTGCATGTGGGGGTTTCTCTTCATCTTTTATTGTTCTATCTGCCGGTTTCGATATGGTTCTCTGTTCGTTTTTTCTGCGTCGTATATGATCTTGGCTTCTTTTTAACTTATATTTGCTTCCGTGTTCTTTTTCCATTCGCACTCTTAGTCAATTGAAAATACGGTGAAATAACCATGGCAAAACTTCAACAAAGAGGAAAGGTTTCAATTCTACGATAACTTTTTTCTTGTGTGTGTGTGTATGTTTGCGTCGTTAAGCCGTCTGTTTCTCTTATAATTCTCATATATTCGTTTGTTTTCTCTACACTATCCTCTTTGCATTTCATATTGTCGATTGTTTCGTTACGCGTTGCAATGTTTCATTCTTCTATCCATTTAAAGCTTTACAACTACTTATGAGTTGTTGTTCCAATCGGGTGGTTGCAATTCTTTCAATACAACGGCATATGAATATTAGTGAAGTGCATACAATGTGTACTCCATATGAAATATGCGTATGGAATGGGTGCTGTTGTGCCATCATCTCAATACTTTCCTGCTCGAATGCCGTAGACTTTTAGATTGTGTCACATATTCTTTTTTTCTTCTATGCTTTTCGCATCACGACATTTGTTTTTGAACGCACAATATTGACACGACCACTTTTCTATTCGAGTAGCAGCAGCTGAAAGGAAGAGAGAAATAGAATCTTTTCTGGCATCAAAATATATTGAGAACAATTTTTTTTATTGTTGGTACAACCAAATCGACTGCACTTTGCCACTTATGTATGGTGGTGCGTGTGTGTGATTGCGAAGGCAAGTTGATTTGATCCATAAAAAACGAATAAGGAAACATGTAAAATAATATACACATTGAACTTTTTACAACTTTTTAAAACTTTTGCTTCTCTTGTGATTGTTGTTGTTTTTCTCGTTCATCTTCGTTTTGGGTTTTCATCGAAGAAAATGCGGCAAATGAACAAAGATTACAATTGATAAGAATTCTCTTTGTTGAGCTGAATGCATATATGTTGCAATTTTGCCATATTACAAAGCTGGTGCTGCTGTTTGCTTTTTTGTCATCAGTTTTTGGCACATTTTTGTGCAAACTATGATACAAATTTAAACTTCAAACTACAAGACTTAATATTTGCCATTCGACTAAAATGACACAATAAGAGCGATGCAAGCGAAAAACATGCGAGTGAACAAAAACAATTTATTTTTTTATTTTCTCAAACACAAACACGCAGACATACACTTTAACACGGTTCACACGATGCAATCTTGACTGCAGAATCGCAAATGTCGAGGGGAGAGAGAGAGAGAGAGAGATAGAGAAAATGCTCTCGAGATGATTTATCATAAAAATGAAGTTACATCAAACTTATTCATTCGAAAACGGAAATTCCGTAAAACGAATTCGGCGTCATCCATCTCTCTTGCGTTGTGTATGTGTGTGTGTACAGTTGAAGGGATTCACCATTCTCAGGATGCCATTGTCAATAGAGCCACGGGGTTGTGTGTGTGTGTATGCAAACAAATTGCCAGGGATTAAAATTGTGACACAACCACCGCATAAGGTGCTGTCTAAGAATGACAAATAAGACACTTTATTATATTTAAAACATATGCATCAAATTAGTCAATTTTTTATCAGCTTTTTCTCTCATTCTACTTCTTCTGTCATACACTTTCACACACATACACCAACACTTCATTTCACACTTTATTTCACGTCTTCTCATATTTCCGACCGCAAAATTCGATTTGGTAAACGACAGGACGAGAATATATTCGGTTCCCTTATTATCAATCAACAATCTATTAAATTAGCAAGTTTTCTTGCTTGGATGGTAATTCATTAGTCACACTCATGGGACCAAAAGGAAACAACCGATAGAAAACACACTCTCTCTCTCTCTCTCTCTGTGTGTGTGTGTGTGTGTTTGTGACAAATTGAAAATTGATAGATTTTTATATGATGTGTGTATGTGTGTGTGCGTGTGCGTGTCATTTGACCGACATTCAGATCTAAATAGCCATCAATTTAGCACGAATCTTCATTTATTTTGCACAAAACTTATGACTGTTTTATTGAAAGGATAATGTGGCACTTATAATAAAAATGGAAGAGTAGTAGGAGAGACGAACGGTCATTTCAAACAAACGAACCCGTTTGACTAAAGGATCGCAATAAAAACATAAAATCCAATATTATACTCAATATACAATTCGATTGAATTTCGGTTTGTGCGTATTCTGCTATTCGAATTTCGAAATTTATGTGTGTGCATTGGCCGTTCAAACACACTTTTGGATTCTCTCTCTCTCTCTCTCTCTTGTTTGCACGTGACGATTTTACTTTCTTTGCTCATTCCATTTATATCGTTTTTATTTTATTTTATTTATTTTTTTTCTCTTCACTTTCTCATATTCGTTTTCTTTTCATGGTGTTTACTTACAGATCCACCATCCTCACCAATAATATCTGGTTATGTCGAGGGTTCAATTATACCCGCGGGATCTATACAAAAGTTAGTTTGTATATCGTCTGGTGGCAACCCGTTAGCAACGTTACAATGGTACAAGAATGATAAAAAGGTAAGTTTCATTGCTTTCATTCACTTTTTCTCAATCTCTAATTCATTTATGTACTAGAATATAATGTTATGGTATGTGTGTATGGGTATACGGTGCTTAGCGAGTGTTCATCTAACATATAGTATGAATGTGTATGTGCCACAACTTGTAGTGGATCATGAGCTAAGCGCGAACGTTGCCAAGCATACCAAATAACATAAATTTTGTTTTAAGTTTTTCATCCGAAAACGAGTGAGAAATTCTAGTCGGTTTAATCCATTTAATACGGCATAACAAACCAAAGAATGATGAGAATTGATGAAACCGTAATAAAGGGTAAGACAAGTGAGAGAACACATACACGCTCAAATTAGCTAGAGATAGAGATATCTTGTATCCGTCGTTTGGACGAAACGTCAGAGTCACCAAAACAAACATGCGAATGGATGATTATGATTCGGTTGGCGAGAGCCAAAAAAGGGCATAAAGTAGCAGCCAGAGGATTTCACGAGTCATTTGGATATATAATGTGTCTGGGCTTATTGCAGATACACACATTTAACAATGTTATTCTCTATTTCATTTTTTTTATTCATTTAAAAAATCAAACCATGAACTCAATGGAGGACAAATCCATTTAATGTCGCCTTTTTTTGGTTTTAATAAATTCATCAGTAAACTAATTGCGTCTGTTTGTGAAAACCACCATAGACAAAGAGTACACCCAAAAAAAAAGTGAAAATCGTGAGCAAATGTCGAAACGAAAATTCCACATCAAACACAAACGACTGAAATCCATTTTACAATCCAAATTTCATAGCTAAACACGTAGATTTTCCCCGCTCGTTATACACATCTTTGAATGTCGCGCGAGATTTTTTTTTTTTTGCTCATTCGTTTTGCTTCACATTTTCCATTTGCTTCAAACAGGAATTCAACATAACCAATCTCAGACGCGAAATCAAAATGGCACACATGAAACGGGCGTGCATATGAATGCGCCAATTCTTCATCTTTGCTATCAAACATATCATTTTTAACATATTTTCGATACGCGTGCCAATCGTATTTCGTGGCGTGGATTTTTTTCCATATTGTGTTTCGCGTCGAGTGCGTGAGAGAAAAAGAAATCGAATAATGATTTAGCCACTGCAAAGCAGGAAATTTCGAGTTTGAAAATTAAAAAAAAAAAAACAAAATTTCCATATATTTCGATACAAGATTAAATCGGAGATGAATCTTGACAAAGCAATTCTGTCGAGCAACGAAATTCTTCAAATTATCACTTTCGCGTATAAAAACGTATGAGAAAAAAAGAAGAAGTACAACGAGACAGTGAGATCGCGCTGATTGCTATCATGTACAAGCGAGAAGAAGCTAACGCACAAGGTGGTTGTGTTAGTCGGTAGAGGAAGAATTGCTGGAAAACATTAACATTATGCTCAAGCTAAATACCAGATGAGCCATGACATACACTTTGAATATGAAATGGGACTATGATCGATGTGCACATGATAAGAATACTCAATAAGGTGTATCGTACAATATCTATGTACGAACAATGCAGCAAATACGAGGGGTCCGCGGAACAAGATTCAACGCTGTGCATACTTTTCGTATAATTTGCAATTTTTCGTCATGTTTTGGATTGAGACGCATTTTATTTTCGAATTTTTATTCGGATAATATCGCTTTCCATTGTTTCTTAACGGAAAATGTGAACATTTCTCACTCAATGCATTCATCGTTTGTTGGGCGTGTGAGTGTGTGTGTGTGAATACTCATGTTTTTTAACTTGTTGTGTGTTGTCTGGCATGCGGGGATAGAGTATATGCAGATCAATGGCGAATAAACCATTCTGAAAATATATGGAAATGTATAACAGTATAAGAGAATGGTCGTTAAAAGACATCACGCATACACACACTTGAGAATTATTTCAATTTTCCTCGTTCATAATGCACCTGAGCACATCACATGAACAAACATCAACTTTACTCAAATACTCATCCCCGGATTCACACACACGTTCACAATACCTTCCAAACCCTACCATACACACACGCACGTCAAACCACCGATGAATCCCAGAAGCGGATTCAAATACAAATTCATATCTCTACGATTTCAGATCTCATTACTAATAATCCGGGAAAAGTAATTTGAGAACATGTAACACAAGTGCAAATACCTCATCGCTAATATGGATTAATATAGAACAAATAATCAATTGAGACGCTTTGCAAGCATATAACTCAAATGAATTGAGATAGAGAAAAATACCAGGAAGAACGAAAGTTCAAAATTAGCATCAACATTTTCATCATCAAATGGCATTTATCGAAGGAAAATTTCTACATTTCTTTAAAATTTAAATGCATCGATGTTGTTACGAACGAATACGCAAAAACTTTATTTGCTACCATATTTCCTGTCACAGAAATTCTGTGCATAACTTTCGTTTATTTGTTGCAACAGTGCCACAACTGGTTCTTCAAACGTCAAATTATTTCTGTATTTGATATGTGAAATGAGTTTGTAGAATTTTTTTTCGATTGTAAAAAACAATGACAGGATGTGAAGACTTCAAGTCTCATTGAGCCGACGGTGGCACCACCAATTTCAAAGGGGACGTCAATGTAATTTAACAACTCAAATCGAAACTAAACAGCGCGCGAAATTTAAAATTTGCTGTCATTTCCTCCCATTGGTAAAAAATGTCAAAAATTCTATATAATTCTATAAATTATATTTATTTTTCAAAGTTGAATGGAATGAATTGTAAATTAAATACCCAGAGAATACTCGAAATGAGGGTTGTTTTTTTCCGTTCGGAAAACTGAACCCCAAATTAAAATTAATGCCATATGACTTCGAACATTTGGTCGGTGTGCATCCATAGAAAATTTCGCGAAAAAAAACGCTTTCAAGTGTATTTTCCTTTCACAAGTGAACGAATTGATTTATTTTTTGCTTCAAATTTGTGTCGCGTTCAGTTTGTTGGTTTGTTTGTTGAAAAGGAAATTGCATATTCGCACTTGATATCGTTTGGAAATGTAGCAAATTTGCACAAACACATCCATTCGCAAAAAAGTCAGAGCAACTGAACGAAAAAAAGACTGTTCCGATTGCACTGTAATACAGTAATGATTTAATACGTATTTGTTCGTTTGAATGAGTTTGCGTGTGTTTGAGCGTATGGGTATTCTTGATTGTCGCGCTTCGTTTGTCTGAAAAGCATTTATTCCAAATAATGCACTAATTCGAGTAAATTTGTGAACGGTAAGCATTTCAACGTTTCTGTCACCATTCCGTTGTACATGTGAACAATCTCGGAAAATAATATTGTTTTTCTCTATATCTCTAGCTACACTATTTTTTAAATTTGCGTTCAAGTGTGCTCTCTCATTCACAATACTGCATTCTCTTTATCGCTTGTTCGTCACTCCGATACCATTTTCATTTTTGTTTGGTTTGTCGTTTTTAAACTAGATCTTTCTGACATTTGTGCTTTTTTCGACTATTTCTTTCACATATTTTTTCCTGCATCACAACACGGCGCTGTGTGTATTTTTTTGTACCTTCCTGCTGCTGCGTCACCATACAACAACTAAATCCATCTCGTCGAACCGATAAAAACAGATAAATTCAGCGCTGAAAACAAACGATAAATCCGTTTCGGCTGAAATCAACATTTTGGCAAATGTCACCGACAATCAGGCGATTTATAAATGTGAGGCGCATAATAGTGCTACTGAAATTCCATTATTTGAGACGAAAACACTCAGTGTTCACTGTAAGTAATGTACTTTAGATATTGTTTGCTAAATTCTCTTTTTCTATCCGGTTATTTTTTTTTTCGATGTCGTATTTGAATTTTCGATATTTTAGCTCTAAATATCCAAATAGAGAGAGAGAGGTGGAGGGGGGGGGGGGGGCAAAATGTAAAAAAAACGAATCAAATGAACTAAAACTTCAACTATAAAATGGCAACTGGCTATTTCGTGTGAGCGGCAGAAAAACGATTTGTCCGTTGTTGTTTTTTTGTCTGTTCACTCAGTCGATGCGAGTGTGTTGATTGTCGGTTTGACTGAATTTTTGTTATTCTGCAAACGACTTTTGCCCGAGCTTTGGTTTTGTTGCCATTATAGTTGTCGTTGTAACGTTTATGGTATTGTTTTTGCTTTCATTTACAATTTTCTATTGAACGCTTGTCGTTCCGATGCGCCAATTTGTTAGTGGGCTACACCTTACCTCTTTTCTATTTTATTCATCCCCGCGTGGTTTTTTTTATCAATTTGCATCGATCTGAAAATGTTCAATTGCCATTGGCTGCTGTTGTTTTTGTATCTTGTCAACTAATTTTTTTTCTTTTCTTTTTTTTTAATTTTCAAAAATGAACATACAGTCGCTCCGGAAACCGTTAAAATTCGTGTTGAACCAGCTGAACTGGTACCAGGTGTGGAAGCAACACTCATTTGTGATTCAAGCTCAAGCAATCCGCCGGCAAAATTAAGTTGGTGGAAAGATGGTATACCCGTACCCGTTGAAGGTATAAACAATGCATCAAAAGCAGGACTATGGGGTGGCACTGTTTCGTCGCTCGAATTGAAAATCAATGTGACACAGGAAATGAATGGTATTGTGTACACGTGTCAAAGTAACAATGAGGCACTACAACGAAGCGTTCACGAAGCTCAGGCACTACAAGTTCTATGTAAGTTTTTTTCTCTCTCCTTTTGTGTGTTTGTCATCATCCGCAGAGAGACCACAATCTTCTCTCATGCACGCGCTGACACACACACACAATTCATTTGTGTGAGTAAAATGCATTGTCTGAAGTAATTATATTTAACAACAATACTTGTCCAATCATTCTCAAATACAGATCCACCAGTATTCGTTCCACCGCCATCAGCAAAAGTTGTTGGAATTGAAGGCGAATCATTGCAAGCAGCCGTACAAGCGCACGCAAATCCAATGTCAATCACTTACACATGGATGAAAGACGGTTTACCGATCATAAACAATGGCGAACGCATCGTATCTGATGGACCCGTTTTAAATATAACCAAATTAACTCGTAGCGATACAGGCAATTACACAGCAAAAGCTTCGAATTCACAAGGATCGGCCACAGTGAATATTTATGTTTTCGTTGAATGTAAGGATTTTATCGTTATTCATACGACATTTTCACAAAAATTATTTAAAATGTTTCATTTTTTTCATTCTGTCTTTTCATCCATAGATGGTACAACAATTAAAGCCGTTTCAGAGAATGTTATTGGAAAACCCGGTGATGATGCCACACTATCATGTACTGTCGAAGGTCAACCACTGAGTGCAGAGCATGTACGATGGGAACGCTTAGGCTATGACATGAGCGAAAAGACCAAAGTTACCTTTGTAAATGGCACTTCCTACCTTACGATAAAGGATGCCCAACGTGAGGATGTTGGTAATTTCCGTTGTATAGCCGATAATCGTGTTGCGAATCCAACAAGTCGAGACGTTTTGCTCATTGTCAAATGTAAGCATTTTTGTAAATAAAATCATTCATTGAAAATATTCGAGAGCAGGGGAAAGCAACAAATACTCTTGCTTGTTGTTCATCTCTTGTTCGTACATAATAATATATTGTTTTTTCTCTCTTGCTTCAAATTTAATTCGAATTTTACAAATGGATTCTTCTGTTTCTCTTTCCATCTCTTCTTCTCTGTCTAAACGCATAATCTCTATAGTTGCACCAGAAATCGATAAAACCATTTTGCGTGCGGCAAGCGGTGAAAATGAACGTGGTCGATTGCCATGCCGTGCCCAGGCCGCACCAATGGCAAAGTTCGTGTGGACATACAATGGTCAAAATTTAAATGTGAATAAAACATGGAAATACAATGTTGAATTGAAACAAATTGATCCATTGACCTATGAATCAACGTTGTTAATCGAAAAAGTCGGCAAAAATGATTATGGTAATTATGAGTGTATGGCGCGAAATGAATTGGGTGTATCGAAGGAAAATGTTCGATTAGAAGTAACATCAAAACCAGACACACCGCAGAGCCTCAACATATTGAATACAACGCATGATTCGGTGACAGTTGCTTGGACGCCCGGTTTTGATGGTGGCATGAAAGCCAGCTATCGTATACGATACCGCGAAATGAACAGTGAACATTATAAATACGAGGATGGATTACCAAATAGTCTCAAATTAACAATTACCGGTCTGAAAATGAATACGGTGTATTTATTCTCGGTGATGGCATCAAATCATTTGGGAAACAGCAACTACTTACCGGATTTGACAAGAGCACAAACTAAAGGTAACAATAACAACAACAAATTTTACATATAAGCACATTTCACTGATAATATTTCACACACATGATAATAATATATTTCGGTTTATTCCGCTCTACATAAATGGTTGCTGTTTTTGCGATCAATTTGCAAATGTCGCACATTTTCGCGAGTGTGTGTGCATGACCATCGAAATATGTAATCAAATGCACAACAAAGGTATTGGGCATCGATTGAACGGGCAACCATAAAAAAAATAAAATGCAATTTATATTGATCGATTTATTAAAAAAAAACCGGTTGTCTCGAATGCCTCACAACATCGCCAAAAGGCTTAAAATTTCCATACGCGCAAAAGTGAATTGCAAACATCACATTTGCAGCGATACACATATCGGAATCTACCGGAATATATGAACATTCATTTAAAAATTTATTTATTTATTTTGCTCTCATTGTTACTTTTGCGTACCGTGCCACGTACACACAATTCGCAATATAAAATACAATCAATATAATATGATCGTTAACTAATTCATAATTATTAACATATCAATATTTTGTCTCTCTTTTTAAATCCTTCTTTTTTCGGCACGCATCTCCCATACATTTTAATAATTTGTAAAAAAAAAAAAAAAACAAATCAAATTATGATCGTTATCGTCGTTTGGACGCGTGCAATTTCGACGTGGAATTCCACGTGTCGTTATTTTTCGATTAAATGGTTATTCTTGTTGTTGTCGTCTTGGTTGTTGAACCGTTAACCACCGATCAAAAATGATTTCCACACAAATACGACCGAACAAAAAAACTACGCATACGCTATATAAACAAACATTTTAACAATTTAAAAAAAAAATGCGATTCGATGAATATTGGATAAATTCAAATGAAATGAATGCCAATGGTAACGACGACACCTTCTTCCTCTCGAACCAAACAATATAATCACATTTCAAATAAAATATAAATCGAAATATATTTGATAAAAAAAACGCGCGTATAAATAATTTGACGATAAAATAAACGAACTGAACGTGTGTATATTGGCATTATAAAATGGGAAAATTGAAATATAGATGCACCGCCAACAGGTCAACCAGCATCGTCACTCGGTGGACCACCAACAACCAGTGCAACACCGACGCATGCCATATCAGGCACATTACTGATTGTCGGCATTGCGTGTGGCACATTATTAGTGTTAATTAACATACTTATAATCGGATGTTGTCTTCACAAACGCAATACCAAACAAATCAAACGAGGTAAATTATGGCGCAGTGATCAATACCATATTTCGCTACATATACATGCATTCCACCCGTTCATTTTGAATAAATAAAAATGACTGTGTGAATCTTGCGAGTGGTTTGAATCGTTGGAAAAATTGGTCGGTTTACTTTTGTTGTTGTTGCTGGATGTTGTTTTTTTTTCTTAAATTCTCTATGTTGAGTGGGAGCGAAATGTGTGGCCATTTTATTCATCTGAAATCGAAAAATAGATTTTTTTATCATTGTGGTTTTTTGGCGAATGACGTTTTTCCTCTTTATCGATATCCGAGTTGCACAGTACCCTTTGGATTTGATTGCATTTTTATTGTTTTTAATTCTGCCTGACACTGAAATGTGGAAATGGAAACAAAAACAAATTATTTCGAAATATTAATTGCAATTATATACTTTTTTATAATTTTAATGTTTTTTTAATTCTTCTTTCATTTTAATTGATATGTTTTTATTTCGATCGTTTTTGATTTTTTTTTTTTTTCAATTTATTTTTTAATTTGAAAAGGAAACGATGTTTTACCAGCCGAATTATTGGAAAAAGCTGAAATGCCCAAAGTAGTATTCATCGGATTCGGATTGGCTGCTTTACTTTGTTTGCTTTTAGGCAATGCAGCGCTGTTTGCTTGGTTTATTATTCGAAAGCGTTCAAAAGGTTTGATTTTTTTAGTTCAATTTTTTTTGTTAGCTTGCCATTATGGTTGATCTAATTGTGTGAATGTGAAACAAGGTCAATTAATATGCTGTGACATATTGATTGGTTCAATTATAAAATGTGAATTTTTCAACTTTCAATTAATGGATTTTTGCTATCTTTATTACGTAAGTGACCTTATGCATTTTTCACTATCAACTGGTATGATTTGTTTTTCACATCACCGACATCTTTAAAATATGAACTTTTAATTTGAGATCTCCCTAGGATCATAAATCGAACCTTTGTGCACCATGTTGCCCCAATGGTTGGGAGTGATAGTATTTAAATTGTTTGCATGCTGTTTCAATTCTGTAATTCAAGACAAGCATTGTCGCAGCTGTGATGAATTTCTTTGGCAGCGTTGGATTCTTTTTTTCTTTTTTCGGCACAGGATTATTTGCTTGCTGCTTTTTATCAACTTTATTATGGAAATGATTTCTGAGCTAGATTAAATGTGATGAAGTCAATCTTATGCTTAATTCCAGTCAATAGTTCGAATGCACTGTTCCGTTGCACTCGTATTTGATTTTTGGTCAAATGTTACTTACAACATTTTGAAATGTGTATTGCTGTATGTCATATCGTAGAGAGCATTAAATTTTATGAGATATTTCTATTTTCTTTGGCAACAGATTTTCAAACCAATTCATAGTGCCACGCAAAAACCCTAAACTTTTCTCATCAACTTTGGATTATATAGAGCTCTCTCTCTCTCTCTCTCTCTGTTCCATTTTCTGTGTATGCACAATTGTGATTTAGTGTCAGTTTGCGTTCATGGTTTTCTCTTTCTTGCTCTTTCACTCTTCTCTAAGCTCATTCACTATTATTCCCTTTTGTCTTCTGTGTGGACAGACTACAAATCATAATTATATTGCGAAATGCACAAGTTTTTCGATTAAATGTATGCGAAAATATATGAGAACATATATTCTTCTCTTCGTTTGCAAGCAATAAAACAAAATAGTTGTGTCATGTATGTGAGTTTTTTTTGTGTGTGAAAAAGGACGAACATGAGCTTGAGCGACAGAGAGAAGAGTGCATAAAATGGGATAAAAAATATTTGCATACAATCCAATGCGTTTCAATAGACAGAGAAAGTTTTATATTCTAACGGTGACAGTTTCGTTCAAAATTTATTCGTAATTATTTTATGAGTTTTCACAAAACGTTTTACGGTTACGAATAGCTGGATGCATTTTTGCATCCTCTCTTTCTCTGCTGCTCATCTAAAAAAATGTTGTTTATTTTCTAATGCAATGCCATTTTTCCAATGTTCGTTTTCAAAGATCTCATAAATGTACAAATGAATGAATGTGTGTGTGTGTATAAATGTTTCAATGCGCAATGAATTTCACTGTCATTTTTACTTGTTCTATTTTTTCCAAATATATTTTAAACATTTCTCTTTTTTTTCGTTTTCGTTTTAAATTCGGGATGCGTCTGTCTCATGTGTATTCGAATTTTGCATACACAATATATTTTTTTGTGTGAATATATGCAGAAGCTTCAAATCAAAACAGCAAATCAGCCACCATTGAAATGTATGCACCGAGCTCGTACAATGACACTGTAACCGGCGAAACTCTCTCAAGTGTATCGGAAAAAAGTGATTCATATTCGAATGAAGGAAGTCAACCAGATTATATGGTGAGTGCATTTTATCTTTTAAACATTCTCTTTTTTCCTGTCATTTAATTTGTGTGCTCAATAGAGATCGATAGACAGCCGGACAGACAGACAGAAAGCGAACCGAAACCAATCATATGGGCAATTAGGAGGGTTACAAAAATTATTAAATGAATTTCGATCGATTTTTTTTTGTATGTGTGTGCGCTCGTGCGCCCTTTTTTGGTTCGATTAAATTGAGTGAACTGAACAGATGACAATTTAAGATGTCAACAGTGTTGTTGCGGCAAACCTCCAAGTTGCAAAAAGACCAGCAAAAGTGGTTGCGCGCATATGGTGCATATAAAAACTGCAATCGTTGCATGCGCGCACGAGATTGATTTTTTTTTTTCCTTTCGTTCGGTAATGTGATATTCCAAATTGGTGCCTTTTGTTCACTTCCTCTCACACTCAAAAGATTGGTTCAAAACTAAATGGGAATTCGGTTCGATTTTCTTTCTCACATTTGTGTCATATCGTGCAAAAATCTCTGACACATTTTTTCCCCGTCTTGTATTCCCTTCTCAATCTAACTGCCAATGATTTTTGATGAAGATTTTTTGTTTATTTCATTCTTGCATTTTTCTTCGGTTGTGCCAACTGAATTTTTTTTTACAGGATGAAACTCGCAAAAAGGCTGCATCAACGTATTTGGTAGAAAATTCGGATATACCACCACCCCGTTATCAGGATGGCACATTGCCCATGAATTATCCAAATAATACTGCAAACTCAGGTATGTGTCAATCAATTTCATTTTCGGTGCGCGTTGCACCAGAATAAAAACCAGAAACGAAGGAGAAAAAAATGTTTCCTTTTAAAAACTACGTTCGAGATCGGTATGCTTTGCTTGAATCGAGTCGTCGTATGACGGAATCATGATATTCGCTTGAATCTACGATATAAGAAAACACTCTCTAGGTCCGCATTTTACTTAGTTTGTTACGAAGACGACGGCTACGACATCGACTTTGAATGTAACACTTTAGACACACACAAACACATCAAAGACAAGGCGAAAAAAGAAATCACTTGTCTTTATCGATTGTGCGTTTCTTGTTCCCATTTGAAGCTCAATAGTGCTTAGTATATATGACACTTGCTTAAGTGTGGTAAATTTGAACGCTCTAAAATAAAAACAACACGGCGTTTTTATTCTAGAGCGTTCATTTCTCTTTTCCCCTTTTCATTGATTCATCGATGTACACCATTTTTCAAAGAATGCGCGCCAGCCAAAGAGAGTTAGAGTGTGTCATATGCACAATGTGTCCCGGCGTCAATTGTTCCCATTCTATTTCACTTTCAAGTTGAGTTGAAAACGGCGGCAGCCACAGCCGTTCTTGCTACCGTTTTTTTTTTCTCAATTGAATGGCAATTTGTTTGTTCAGCACTCTCGTTCTCTTTCGCACATAAAGAGAGAGAGAGAGAGAGAGAGACATTTTCTGTTTTCCTGTAACATGATACATTCGGATAATAATGTGTGCGACCATTAGAAGCGCCTAAGTTGAAAACAATCAATGTGACTACGGCACATGAAAAAAGTAGACGAATTGAATAGTTTATTCCATTGACGATGATGGCAATGAAAGAAACCAAAAAACGAGAGAAAAAAATTGAACGGAAATGACATCGTAACGATTGGCGATTTGTCAATGATCAATTTCTTTTATGGCAATTATCCAAAGCATTTATGGACTCCGTTTTTACAATCAAGCTTTTTTTCTTCTTCTTATCTTGCAAACAAATACAATGTGACCAAATGATGCCATTGTTAAAGTCATCCTGTTATTAATTTGTCACAAACAAACAATGAGCCGAGGCGATATTTTGTTTATTTTGGTTTCATCTCAAGTTTCATTTTCTTCAAGTTCGCCAAGAGCTCCTTCGAATGCGAAAAACAACATTTTAGAATCGTTTCAGTTATTGGCATGTAATTTTTTATATATTTTTTGTTCTCTTAAAATGTAGTTAATACGCGGACGTTGCCTCATCCCCGACACAATAGCCATGTCATCGATCCAAGAGCACGAGATGATCAAATGCTTGGCAAAGGATATATGCCATCACCATCACCTGCATTGCCATTAGACGGATCTTACTATAATATGAACAGTGATCGCTATTTATCGTATCCACCAATGGTAAGCAACGATCAATTCAATTTCTCATCATCCTAATCAATACACACGTCAAAAAAAACTAATGAAATGTGTTTATCCTCCCCTTTCTTTCCGTCATTTGTTTTCATTTTAACTGTGCACGTGTTAACGTTCGTGTTTACAGGATTATCCAAATGTGGAATTTTCAACGCCACCATTACAAATGACACACATAATGCCAATAAATGGTACGATTATGAATGCGGGCGGCGGAACATTACGGCGTGGTGCTGGTGGTATGCGCGCAATGGTACCACCACCGGATGTAACGCATCACACAACAAATCATTCAAAGTCAACACACGATCTAAACAATTCGATTAATCAAAATGTTTCACAACAAACACTAAATAATCATAGTAATAAGTCATCCCAATTATCATCAAATAACAGTAGCATGACCACATCAACGAAACAACCACCGGGTATTTTAAAAGATCCAAATCGTAAGTAGATAAATTCAAAGACATGCTCACAATCACTTTATCATTACCCCTTATTAATCATCTCTTTTTTTTCTCTCTCTCTCTCTCTCTCTCTCTCTCTCTCTCCACAATGTGCATAGGTAAGCAACAACAGCAACAGCAACAACAACAGCAAATGCTCGCACATCCAAATATGCAAATATTGAATGTGCAAAATGCGCCAGGTATTGGTAACAGCCTGTTGATGACCAGCACCGGTAGCACGATCGGCGTCGGTACATACGAACCAAATCCGCATAATTTAAGTTCATTCAATGCATCAATGGGCTATACAGATGCTGATGGTCATCTTGTGTGAATATTTCACTAAACGAAAAAAAAACAATACTACATTTAAATTTATTTGAGGGAAAAATAAAAAAAAGTGTTATATTGCTTTAGATAATTGAATTAGCCACGTATAGCTCGTAATGGCAACACAAAAAAGACAATTTACAAAGATACGTATTAATAAGGAAATACTTGTGAAGAGATTAAGTGAATAAAAATATAAAAAATAATAATACACGCAAAAAAAAACGATTGAATGAAAGTAATGATTTTATGTGTGTTTGATCGCAGCGCGTTGAGTGTGTCGGAAAGCGATACGTTATTCAGTCATACATACATCGAAACTATGTTCAGTTGAAATTGTTTTTTCTATTGTATATGATATATAAATGAAATGTGCATAAAATTCAAATGATTTTCCTTTACTTATCAATGCAAAACTAAAACAATTACATTTTTATGCCCTCTCAAATTGTCCATCCCCAAATACAATCTATCTATATACTATCTTATCCCAGTGTGTGTATCAACGCATAGCTTTCCAAACATTCTCATTTCAAATCTTAAAAAAACATGTATTTACAAATAGATAAAAAAATGCTCTTCTTGTAGACAAACAAACACACACAAAATATGAATACATTCATTAATAGTGAGTTAATAAACATTTAAACACAAAATAGAACTCAACCGACCCAAAAAAAATACACAAACAATAGATTTACGAATCGAAAATCAAACTGAATTGTGTAAAATGTAATAACAGATTAGCAATTGCTAATTTGGCACGACATTAAAGGGAAAAAAAAAACAAAAACAAAATAATTTTTACAAATAAGATTAAGATGGTAAAACTTGAAAAAGGCCATCGAGTCATAAACATAATAATCATATACAACAGCCGATGATTGATGATTTAAAAAAAATCAAACACATTTAACAAAGAAACTCATTAATTGTTATCAACATAAGTAAGATTAAACATTTTAAAATTTAAAAACCGATTGGAAACAATTGGACATTTCTACTTTAAGATGAAACCGTAATCAAATTACGTAGCTACTCAGAAAATTGGGAGAGAAAAGAAAAACAAGAACTTTAAAGAACTTTTAAACGCCAGTGAAAAGAGATTCCTTTTTTTAAATAATTGTTCTTTGTTTTCGGAAATCCCGTTCTTGTTTATATGTATCCTGAAACAGTGAAACCATACCACTGCCGAATTTCGTTTCTTTTTTGTTAAGAAATTGCTTCTCCCATTCAACAACAAAAAAAAACTGTAAAATATGGAGAACACAGAGCAAAAACACAATAACAGACATTTAAACAGAAAAAAATAGCTAAGATTTTATTAGAAGCTTTTGTCTCGCGTAAATGATGCGTTAATGACTGTAAATAAAAAGTAAATAAGTAACAAAATGAGATTTAACCGAAAAGAAATGGAAACACTAGTTTTAGAATAAAATTCAATTTTTGTTAGTTGATAAACTAAGAGGGGGCGGTGTCGTGCGAATAAAAACCGCTCATCAACACACACACAAACAAACATAAGCTAATCAATAATATAACATTTGTAAATAGTAATTTAACTCATTTTTAACAAAAAAAAAAAAAAAGAAAATTGATTATTAACTTAAAAGACGAAGAAAAAAAACAAACAAAAGTGTGGAAGACAGGGAATGGGCCTTTTTTTCGTGGTGAATATCAAAATAATATAATAAAATATGCGATACATAACGCACATCCAAAGAAATCACCAAAAAAATGTACCATTCAAATGACTATTCTTCAATCCGTCTCCTTCACAACAAAAACAACAACAACAACATGAATCAAACAGATCTAATTATTATTATTCAATTGTATGGTTTTAAAACTTTTTATTTTTGTTTAATTTTTCTTTTATGTCGTCTGTGTCGTTATCGTCGTCATAGAGATCAAACTCAAACACAAAACAATTCATAAAACACTAAACTCTAATTCAAATTGATATAGATTACAAGTAAATGGATACATTAATTAATTTTTTTCGTCTCTCTTTAAAATTTAACAAAAAAAAAGTCATGTTAAAATATTTTAGATATATTTATATAAATATATATATATGAGAACAAGAAAACAATGAAAATGAATTGAAATGGATGAACAAAAAATGAAATACTGATAATTATTCTAATCGATAGAATTTAACTCAAAGAAAAAAATTAAAACACAAAAAAAAGAAAAGGAATCGAATTAATGACGATTGACATTATATTTTGCGCATAACTGATTATATATTTCAAAAAAAAAAAAAAAAAAATGGGTAATAGTAATGAAACTTAAAAATTAACGACACAAAACTAACATCAACTTCATTAAAATTTCTCCCTATCTTCCGCCGTCAACCGTATATCTCTATATTCCTTCATCACTATGCCAAACCCCAACCCGATCAATAAGATATAATTTTTTTTATTGCTATTCGCAAGCAAAATTAGCAATCTCAATCTCTTTATTACTCCTCGCGTATTTATTTGTTATTTGTAAGTTTTGAAAACAGTGTTGTCTCACATTTTTATGATACAGACATGATCTCATCCATTTTAAATTGCATTGTGGTGTCACATGACACCAAATCTACATCCCAGCCGAATGCAATTCGAATTGCTTTTCTCTGTTTGCTATTCAGTTATTCCAAAAGTCCTATTTTCAAGTGATTATTTTCAATTAGCCTTCCATCCATAATTTAATCGTTATTGATGATTTTGAAAGTTTTCACAGCAAATAAATTGATTGAAAACCGCACACCATTTTCTCGAGATTCGATTCGGCACCAAAGTAAATCAATTTGCATTTGTCATAACAGTGACATCATTGAATGTCATTCGAATTTTTGTGACATCAGAATGCATTTCTCCATTCATTATTTGCGCGATAAAAAGTGTTAAAAGCTGTCTTCCAATTAGCGAAATGCCCCCACATCACAAACTATGATATGCACAAATTAAATTCATTTCAACGCGATAATTTTGTGATATTGGTTTGTCTTAATCGAAGAACTCAAAAAATGGCATTTATTCATTTCCATTTTTTAAATGAAATGGTTTTCATTCATTGATATTAAATTTCTGTGCACTTCAAGAAATCTCAGTGTTGTTATTGATTAACCAATAAATTTGTCGTTTGTTTTTACTGCACTTTTCTTTCCATTTTCAAAAAGAAATAATTAAAAAAAAACATGTTAAAAGCTAGAAAAATGATGATGAGAAACAATTGTTGCCAAAGAAATACAATTTGTTATTGTAATGAACGTATGAATGTGTGTCTGTCTATAAAAATTGATAAACAAGATTAAATGGAGCGAAAAGAGATTGAAAAAAAAATAAGGAGATAGTAATAATAAATACAAATAAGACTTTTTAAGAATCTTCAATGTGAAATGATGTTGAATGGGTAAATAATGAACAAAACAATTCACACACACAGTTGAATCGACTTTTAAATCAAACAACCGAATGATTCATGTGAAATTAAACAATGAACTAAAAGCAAATGGCAATGGAGTTTAATTTTTCTAATTTTTGCAAAGGACAAAGCGTAATTCTATCGACCCGAGCAATGATATAGATCACATCACGATTAATATCAGAGCCGTTTGCATCGTTGTCAAAATCACAATGGATGAAATAAAATTTCTCTCTTTGTTCTTTGCTTTGCTCGATAACACACACATCATCCATCTCACACAACACACAATCTCCAAATATAACTTATTAGGTCATAAGTTTTAATTTTCACTATTTTTTAATCTTTCTACTTATTATTTGTTTGTGTCTTTATCTCTTCTAATTGAATGATTAATAACGAATACACACATGACTCAACATGAATTTATCTATAGCGTAATAGTTATACAGATGAAAGAAATTATGAGATGAAATATATAAAATTAATGTTTATAGTTAATAACTAAAATGTTGTTTTTATTTGAGTTTTTCTCATTTTTATTAAATTTTGAATGGTCTTTTTTTTCTTTTTTATTGTCCCTTGATTTATATTTTTATTTTTCTGTTGTTCAGATCGAAATGTTGGATGTGTCAAACAGTGCGCAAATTTAAAGGTACATTTTTAACCCATATATTGATTTTTCTATTTATTTTTTCGTTTATTTGCTGTGGAACGAGAGAGAGAGAGAGTGAGGAAGAAAGTTTGTGAGCTGCTGTTGGAAAACCCTAATGCCAATTGTTGAAGTGTCATTTTTATATTTTCCACATGCACCAACCACGACAATTACATTTATGAAAACCACACACCGGAGAGACATTTTGTACATATTATACTTGCTACATTAATATATAGATACACACGCCCACCATGCGATGTTCCGATTCATTTTTTTTCTAAAAAAGAACTTATGTGTAAAGAAAATACAATAAATCAACAGAACTTTAATCAATTAAAAAAAAAAAAAAAATTACACATGAACAAGTACATATGGAAATTTGAAAGAACCCATGAATGACATGTGATTAAATAAGAGTAAATATGACTTTAACTAGAATTGCTCGATCGATTAAGAAGAACCAAAATCAAAATATATGAACGAGGACGTTTCTGTCCCAATTCGTCCGAACAAAATCATTGTTTAAATATTGAATGCAGAGCGTATTCCATCGTTGAATAAAAAAAAATAAAAATTGAAATAAAAAAAAATATTCTTTTTGGTTTCTCGGCCTTTTTCAAGAGACATGATCTCTCTGGCGGAAAATTAAAAGAATGTCCATGTCTTCAGATCCTTATCAGCATGACTCTAATAAAAATCCGCTTTGAAAAAAATTAAATCAAAACGACTTTGACAAAACGATTGTTTATTGGTTCGATGTCTGAATTGGATAAAAAAACACCGGAAAAAATCATTGAATATATGTAATCCGCGTCAAATATTGAAAACCTGTTTATCATTCAATCGTGTTGAGCATTTGTTTTTTTTTTAATTCTATTTTTCGATTTTAATAAGAAAAATGTAGCGACAAATCGCTGTATGGCAATAATCCATTCTCAGAAAGAAACCAAAATTAAAATGACAAATCCAATAATGTAATTTTTATGAGAATAAGAACAAAAAAGACTTTTAACAGGCCGAAATTTGTGGGAAAAAATGTGAAAAAAATTATATCAATTAAATAATAAATAAATAAATTAATTATAATCATGAATGTAAATATATGAACCGGCAAAGAAAATAAAATGGAAATGCATCGATGTTCATGTTGTACACTTTTCTTGGCTTTAGTATTAGCCAAATGAATTTGAATGGCAGTAATTCGAAGCCAATTATTGCATCATGATGAGTTCCCGAGCATTTCGATAAAAATAACAATCTTGTTGAAAGAATGAATGAAAAATCCCTTCGACTTATGTGTAAATAAATTTCAAATTAAATTGATATAAGAACAGTTATCATTTGAATTAAGTTTTAATCCTTCATAATCTCAACAAAACGATGACAAACAAAACAATCATGCCGAACATAAAAATCTAGCTGTCGTCTTTCTTTCTCCTTTTTTCATGTAGAAAATATGTAATGCAAACCGAACAAAATACAGAGATCGATCTTCGACGCTAAAATTTATCCAAGTTTCAAAATCAAGTGTGCGCACTCTGAAATCAAATTCATTGAAAATCCAATAATTTAGATAGATATTTGTAGATAAATTATAAATAAAAGAAAACAAAAACGTCTTTCACGCGACTCTCATAGGTTGGAAAAGTTGCAGCTGTGGCTGCACACAAGTAAACGCAAAAACAAGAACAAAATACCGAAATGAATAAAACAAGCGGTTTTTAAACTGCCCACAATATGGTCATTTCAAATTGAATTAATAATTAATATAAAGTCCATCCTTTTTCGTACGATAAAACAAAGAAAAAAACATGAACAACAAAAAAAAAACAAATTATATTAACTATTTATGAATATATATTATGAAATATATATATATATATATATAAACCTATTAAAGATATTATTAACTGTATTTAATTGATTGATGAAATTATGGAACTACCAAACATTGTCCAAACAAAGAAACAAATAATTTATGGATGCATGAACCGAAGACGCCGACAAACTAATTAAAATTTACAACAAATTATTTGTGTCAAATATTTCTTAAAAATTAATAAAAAAAATTGATGAAAAAAAAAATCCAACAAATGTTGTTTAATTTTCGTATTGGTATTCCCATTCATATTCATGGAAATATTTATACTGAACCCCACTTTGAATTTCAACGAAAAAGTGTATATTATGTGAACATCTAGGGCTCACTGTCAATGGTCCCCAAATTATCCATCATCCATCATAATTTTAATACAGTAAAACCTGTCAATAACGGAATCCCACGGGGAATTTTTTTTTTCCACTATTGACAAGAATTCCACTATTCCCAGGTTCCATTAATAACAGGTTTTCATGCCAATTCAGAAATGATTTTCCATTATTGAGGGAAAATGTGAAAAAAAGCAGAGATTCATATATTTTCATCATTATATAGCTAGCAAAATTTTTCAGGGGATGATTTTAGAAGAAAATCCTAGAAATCAAAAGAATTTTTCGCTTGGGAAATTCTAGCAAAAAGGGTATTCCAATCGGAAAAAATTGACTTCCAAAATACAGTTCTAAAATCCCTAGCAAATCGAAAGAATTTCTCTCGCGTTCCAAAAACCCTAGCAAATCAAAAGAATTTTTCCCAATTTTTTTCCACTATTGGGGGTGAGCGTTTTTTGCCGTTTACCGTTATTAACAGGTCATTTTGTATGGAGATCTCAATGGCGGAAATTTTTTTCCACTATTGACAAGAATTCCACTATTTCCAGGTTCCGTTATTGACAGGTTTTACTGTAACATATGAGTAAAAAGTCTTTGCACTAAATTCAGATGTTCGCCATTAAAACAACACACACACAATATTAAATTCTTTTTTATTGGTATAAACCTTTATTCATAGGCTATCGAATAGCACATTCACTTTACACTGAACGGACCATTGTCTTCGAT